CCCCAAAACCCCAAAACCCCAAAACCCCAAAACCCCATTATTCCACACTTAGATTGATAAATAATTAAATCCCAACATCATGGTAGCAAAGGTATTCCTGAAGGATAAATTATAGAAGAGAAAGAGTATTAGGAAAGCCCAGAGTATGCCAATTCTGCATCCAGAGCCAGCCTTGGTCCATGTCAGTGAAAAAGCTTCATATGGACTGAAGAATGAACACATTCATCATGGTTATAGGAAGAATTTCAACTCCTTAAGCTGTACTTTAAAGACCATCTTCATGTGGCACAATGAGACTGTGAATATATGGAGTCACCTCATTGGAGCTATATTCTTCTTCTGGCTGATTCTCAGTGCAGGATTTTACATCGAACCCACTGTTGAACAAATGATCAAACACTACATTGGCTATCATAATGGTAAGAAAATAATTTCATGGTCAGCTCTAAAGCCTCTGAGATAAAGTCCTTATATAGACGATCCAGAGATCATAGAGAGGGATGTATTTCAGTTGCAGCAAGAGATTCCCAAAACACCAGTCTATCTCTTTCTATTTTCAGCAGTTTTCTGCATGATATGCAGTGTAGTGTACCATCTCCTTCTTGACTACTCTGAAAGAGTGTCTTTTTATGCCTCAAAGCTTGATTTTGCAGGGATTTCTCTTCTGATTTGAGGTTCTACCTGCCCACCGATTTATTATACCCTCTATTGTAAAGAAAATGAACTGATGAGAACACTGTACTTATGTTTTACCATTCTTTCATGCTCAGGAGCATTTATCTCAATGTTCTCAAAAACAGTTAGCAAGCCTGAAAATAAGAAATGGAGGGCAGCGATATTTGTTTCATGTGGAGTTTCACCGATCTATGCCCTCACTCAGTTCTGGCTGTTTAGAGATCCTCTGACAATGCCTCCTTTTGATCCAACATTTTGGCTTATTGGAGGTGCTACGTATATTTTTGGTGCTTACGTATATTCAATAAAATACCCTGAATCAAAATATCCTGGAAAGTTTGATCACTGAGGACACTCTCATAACCTTTGGCATTGATTTGTCATTGCAGGGGCTTTCATTCAATTCATTGCTATACTCCAAGTATATCATGCCAGAAGACTGACCTCCTGTCCCATTTAGTACTTAGAATGACGTATTTTTCAACTGAAAATACCAACATCGGGGTTTTGGGGTTTTGGGGTTTTGGGGTTTTGGGGTTTTGGGGTTTTGGGGTTTTGGGG